ATTTTATTGTTTAAAATTAAATATTTTTACATTTATATTATCATATCAATGAGTATACATATTAAAAATCATTTCATGATCACACAATTCACAGTAAAAAATATAATGATAAATTGACATACTTTTTAGCCATATTTCACCATACAAAAATGTTACATGACAAAAATGTCTAAAATTAGATGTAGGATATTTTTTTTAAATTGTATTATAAGGATTGATTCATTATTTATATAAGAAATATATTGGAAACTAATAAGATAAAACACTAGAAAGAAAAATAAAACCCTTTTTTATTAAAAAAATATGCAATTTGATGGTTTTTTGTAACGGATGTAACATTGCATGTCAAACAATTTAGGAAGTTAAAAATGGCCCAATGTTCCTAAAAAAGAAATATATCTGTTACTTTTAAATGTTTATAAAATTAGTGAATATATACAGTACGATATTTAAAAAAAAAATGGTAATCATGCATTTTATTTTTGGTGCATCCACAATGGAAAGTCATTGACCCAAATGTATGTCAAAATCCTGTTCGTCCGTTAAGCCTCTTTACTGTCGACGTTAAGCGACGTAAATCGACGTTTACAACATCCATCGTCAATTGATCGTTGAAGTTGAATGAATAACGATTTTATTAAAAATCGTGTCGGTTCGCCAAAGCTGACCATGTAAAACGCTGAATCGTTAAAGTTGAAAATTTTTTATGCTGATTTATCATGGCGCCGTTTCTCAGAAAGCTGAAAGCCGTTATGTTGATGGATTTGATGCGTAAGAAACAGCAAAAAAGGGAAAAGAAAACATAAAATGTGGGTCCGAGACATCCTTCTTTGACGGAAAACGCTGAGCCAGTACCAACAGCACTACCACCTAATTAGAGACCGTGATAGAGAATGGTTTTTTAATTAAGTATTTATTAGTTTGGCCTGCCTAGGCCTAGCCTAGCCTAGGCCCTGTAGGGGCCGGGCCTAGGCTAGGGCCGGCAGTGCGTTAATTGCGGCGTATTTCAATTAACTTATTCGTTATTTGTACTATTTCTTTAAATTATTTATTATATAGGCCTATAAGTTTTACTAGGTTACAGGTAGGCCTAATAGTACAAAAATAAAAATATATAAATTACAAAACCATAGTAAAGGCCTAGGCCTACTGTATAATAACTATTATTTTTGTTTTATCTTCCATGGTTAATTTGCTGAGTATTTGATTAGTCGGCTTGCCGACCCCCCGGATACCAGCTACATATTCATCCCACAGTCTTGTCAGTCGTTGATTTGCTCGTATTGCCATTCATGATGTATAAGATAAGTTGTGTAATTGAAAATTAGAACTTTTATTATTTTATGTATACGTACTACATTTTTATAAAAATAATTGAAGTTGTATAATTGCAAAATCGTATTAAAAATGTAATAACTCGATTATTTTTAATTGTATTTACGTTTGTTTTCCGTTTTAACATATTTTAAAAAATACGCCCCAAAAATATTTAATAAATCAGTGCAAAAACCGAGTATTAAATAAATTGAAAGAATTAAGTAAATAAACTGAAATACATCCCAAACAACAGTACCAAGAACAAGTAAATAAATTGAAATACGCCCCAAAAATATTTAATAAAACAGTAAAACGAGTAAGTTAATTGAAATACTCCCCAAAAAAGTTTAACAAAATAGTACAAATAACGAATAAGTTAATTGAAATACGCCGCAATTAACGCACTACATTCACTGAGAGACGCGCTTGGCGTTTCATAGAAATGACCGGCGGTTCAACTTGTCGGCGGCTCAACCGGTCATAATCCCCTAGGCCTAGCTAGCCTAGAAGAAGTAGAAGGTAGGCCTGGTCCTACTAAATAGCGCACGGTAACTCCCAGAAGCGCCCGGGTTGTGCTCGGGGGCTTCCAGCCCGCCCCCAACGCCCGGTACAGTTAATTAAGGAACAGGTATTAAGGAACGCTGTGTACACAGTTTTCACTTTATGAAAAGTTTTGTGGACATCCCCTTATTTTTCGATAAAAATATTCTTTTCTTCTTTTTAAGGAACCACAATGTTGAAGCAGAAATTTTATTAGACAATCTGTTCTGAAGATCTGTCTCTTATACACATCTAGATGTGTATAAGAGACAGGTTTTCACTTTATGAAAAGTTTTGTGAACATCCCCTTATTTTTCGATAAAAATATTCTTTTCTTCTTTTTAAGGAACCACAATGTTGAAGCAGAAATTTTATTAGCTTTAGGGCCTATGCTGTAAAGCAAATCAATATCATCAATCAAAATAATCTCTTTGTTTTTTATTTCCAGGAACCCAAATGTTGAAGCCTCTATCGCAAAATATCAGACCAGACAGCAACATGGATTGAAAATATTAATTATACATTCAATGGAATGAATTTCAGTTATCTTGCTGTTTCAAATATACTCAAAATACACCACTTTACATACATGATATACTAGGCTAGACCTTGCCTAGGCCTAGCCTACTAATAGGGAGCCTAGTAGTTAGGCCAAGGCCTCTCTATCTAGACTGCCAGGGGAAGGTATAAAAACCAGCTTTTTATAAAAGGATGACACGATAGCCAACCCTATCTTAAAGCTAATACTTGTGAACCATGATGCTGTTAAAATACAAAAAGTAATTAAGTAGGAAGTTAAAAAAAGCTGCTGTAAAAAACAATTGGTGCATATATTTCTACAATTTTTTGTATATTTTTTACACACAGGTGCTAATCTAACAATTATTTCTATGTGCCCTAGAAACCACACCTATTTGAGTTTTTACCAGTGATATACTCATGACATTATTATTCCATCACCACGGGTTTTTTAGGATGTCACCAGAGAGGTTTGATCATCTGTTGGAATTGATAGATCCTTATCTACAAAAAAGGGTCAACAGAGGAAGAGAGACAATCTGTTCTGAAGAGAGGCTTTGTATCACAATTCGGTTCCTGGCTAGTGGCAATAGCATGACAGATATGGCCCTCAATTTCTGTGTGGGTATTACTATAGGTACGTGTAAATCATTCATGAGATTTGAAATTTAAATATTTTATTTATCTCCCACAGGTATAACAGGACATCAAAGAAACTAGAACGGCAAGCTGCAGCCAGCAGCCTGCAGCCAGCTGAATTGCTCCTCTAACAAAAAGGGAAGACCAAAATGTAAAAGCTGAGGACTTCAGTTGATGTGTGCTCCAAGTTCAACCCACCCAGATTGAAGAAGAAAATATTTGTGCATGTGACCGAATTTACCAAAGAATATGGCCATCGAGTGCCATGTTCGTGAGGTGCGGTAGTTCGGTTCTGCTGCGCTGTGCACCAGTTACTGGGAAGTGTAATAAAGCACTTCAAAATGGGGTATACAGCGTGTCTGTAATACCCATGATGGAAATAATGAAATCTAGATTTGGAATTGATTTTGCAGAATTTATGTCCAGTAACTGTACAACTATCAAAAGTTTCTAATGCTGCCAAATTCAAAGAGCAACAATTTTTGTTGTGTATTATTCTCTAATTTAACACACAATAACATAATCTGTTGTCAAATACTTGCTCTTTGTATTTGAAGGTCCCAAGCCCTTACATAAAAGCAGAGGGGAAACTTTTGCCTCCTTATCAATCAATGAATAAAAGTACGAAAAATACTGTTGTTTCATTTCTTTATTATCAAACTCGCATTTCAACAATAACAGTGTGAATACTATTAGTGTTTGTTGCTTGTCAGCAAGACTATGTGTGTCTTGTTGAATTGTTTATCTTTGATAACTACAATTTCTCTATTTTGCACGGAAGCTAGCAACTGTGTGTGTGTGTGTAGCGATTGATCGTAGGCCTACACACTCTAATTTACTGCGATGTAAGTTTGCTTTTATCTGTTAAATACGTTTTTAATTCTGAAAAAAAAAATGTAATGAAAGATTTTTGCTGGTGGCAAGCAGGATAAAATTTTTAGTTTTCTGTATTTCCAATTGTTCACTGTGGCAAAATAACATTTCAATTCTATTCCAAATTAATGGGTTCGCAAAACAAGGTGCTGGAGCTATTTTGTCTAGACAACTTGCACACTTTTTTTTCCAGTACTGACCATATTATAGCTGTATTTAAACTCAATTTTCTCTTAGCTTGTTTCTAAATAAATATCGCCAACTCCGTCTATTACAATTTACATTTTTTAACAACTTATTCAAAAACTAAATCATTAATTCCTTTCATTATTTCTTTTTTGGTCCATCTCCGATCTGCCTTTTATTTCTGATTGTAACCAAGAACAAAATTTTGCAATCCAGTCCTGCGGTTCTTCTGGTTTGTTAATGAAATCGATCACAGCCTGCTCATATTTACTGGAAATGGGCTGACATGCTTCCTTCTGCAAATGAAAAGACGACAGAGGGAACAACAATCAACTTATGTTTGTAGGTAGAGTAGGAAATTATGTTGTATATTAGTTTCAGAGGCACCACACCCCCCCCCCCCTCCAACCACATCCTATGCAATAAGTTGGATATTGATGTTTAGGTAAACCCTATAGTACAGTATAACATTATCAAATTCAAGGTACAAAAAGGCAGTGAACTACAAACGTTGCATGTAATATGAGCCATAAACGAACGAGTAATTTTTAAACGCTTTGATACTCCAGCATAAAGCTCGATATAAATAGAAGTACATTACATTACATTAATTCACATGAAAAATACATTCTTTTTACAAACCTTTACAGCTTTCTGTTCCTTCTTTGACCACGCTTTCTTTCTTTCTAAAATGAAATATGATGTATGGTATTATTGAAACAGCAAATTATAAAGATGACATGTTTGCTTAAATGAGTAAAAAATAGTGTTATTTTCTTGTAATTTAATTATATAACACTAGAAAAAGGAACAAAAATTAAATCTGAAGATTAAATTTAAAAAAAGGAATGGATTAATTATGTTGTGGAACTGACCTTCAATGTTTTCTCTATTTGCTACTTTTCTTTCTCTTCTTAGAAACAAGTTCAGGTTCTTGTGGGGAAACTTGTGCTTGTACTGGAGTTTCAAAGTCCTCCCCATCTTGATCTAACATTAAATAGAAAAACATTCACAATAGATCACTTTATAAATATTCCAAATTAAAACAATAAGTATGAAAATTAAAATTATAAACTTAAAAGAAAAAAGCATTTCCTTATCAGGCAATCCAAAATATAAAATTTAATAGTCAACTAACCATTATCAATTTCAGTATCCTCGAATGAATTTTCTATAGCTTTAAGAATGGTAGTAGCCTGTGTCTCAGAACCCTCATCAAAGGAGTAGTCTTCCTGGTTATTATCTGTTAAAGCAAATAAAATAACTTTAAAAGTAACCACTTCTTATATATTTGTTATGCAGTGCCAGAAATTTCTAAACAATATTTCAATTCAAATTAATAAAATTTAGGTAAAATTAAAAATGTGGATTTTTTCCTGCCTGTATTAATAGTTGTAAAATGGGATGCCAGTCAATTTGAGCAGATGTCAGTTCAAGCGGATGCCAGTTCGAGCGGATGCATTTAGTGCGAACTATAACAAGGGCAAATTTATCGTCGCCGTATTCTTGTATTTGTTTTAAATGCAAAAAATGCTCTGATTACTAAGGTCCTGAAAGGTTTTTAGTACTTTTTGATAATTACTCCATGTTTGAATTACAGTATTGGTAACACCGACTACCAAGATGGCCACTAACAAATTCAGCTTAAAAAAGAAGAAAGTGTATGTTTTACTAGAGTGTACGAGAACCACACAGACAAGACGAGTGACAATTATTTTTTTCACGGTAAACAAAGTGGGGTGGCTAGCCACCCTATTCAACACCCCCCCTTCCCCAGATCCACCACTGGTTGGGGTTCTCTATTTAAAAAAGCAAATTATATTTGTAATTGTGTTATGCTACTCATTTATCTATTCTCGAACTGTTGTGTGCCCCTTCCCCTATGAAAATGCCAAATTTTTAGCTCAAAAATAGGAAAATTTGAAGTAATTCGTATATAACTCGCACAGGATGTTGTTCGCACAAGTGGATCTTCTTCCACTGAAACTAGCATCCGCTCAAAAAGAATTCCGCTCGAATTGGCCTTCGCTTGAAGTGGCATCCGCTCGAATTGACTGGTTTCCGTAAAGTGACTCTTTTGCCCTTTTTTATTGTAATAATTATTATACAGTGTACAAACCTTCCTCTTCCTCCAAAGAGCATGTATCAGCTGCAACTCGTTCCTTGTAGTAAGGCACTAGCCACCGGAGGGCCTCCCACTCCTTGCTCACAGCATCCTGGATTTCGGCCACGCCTGCACCTGATCTCATCTTTTTTTTTTTAATCTTTAAGGTATCTACAGGCATAAAAATATAATACTGTAATAAAATAATACTAACAAGATGTCCAATCTACCCCACTGGACAAATCTCAGTGCAATTATTCAAATAGGGGAGGGGACGTTTATAAAAAAAAAATTATTTTATGAAGAGTATATTATTGAATTAGCATTTTGCGTTACAAAATTTTACTAGGCTTAAAGAGGGAAACACAAAAAATTTTTGTTTGTCTTTAAGAAAGATAATGTATGAGAAACCGTCTTACCTCGAAAAGCGAGTACACACATTTTTATATGCCCGTTCTACAAGATCTCCCGTCCAGGCTGCCTCTCCCCTGCATTTTACCTTCATGTAGTTCAACTCGTCCGCCACTTTTTCTAGAGCATTTTTTTTCATGGTTCTCATATTTTTGTAGTTGGCAGCCCTTCTTTCATACAATATTTCGAATCTCTGCACAACTTCCATAAGGGATTTTTCACTATGGTCCATCTTTGGTCTAAAATTTAATGATAAACAATATATATTAAATAATTTTCAATAAATGCCTAGGGCTAGACTAATGAAGGGCCTTCTAAAAAAAATAAAATCAAAATAGAAAAATCAAAAACGGAGAACTAGGCCTGGCCTAGAGGCCTACATTACATACAAATGACATATCATTCTATAAATTTGTGAAATACAGTGTACTTTTACTAGGCCTAATCCATGAAAAATATGATAATTGAGTCTGTCTAACTAGGGCTCAGATAGTTACGATAGACTACACTTGGCAGCTTCCTTTCCATAGGAGTGGTTGCCTTGCGTTCCATTGCAGATGCCTAGCCTACCTAGGCCTAGCAGCATAGGCCTAGGCCTAGGCTAGCTAGCTGGTCCTAGCCTAGACTAAACGGGAGTGTGGGAATAAGTAAAATCAAATGGCTACCTGTTAGGTTAATTATCATAATAATATATTACATATCCATAATAGGCCTATGTCTATCAATTTTCAAAGTACTTACATTTGAGTTTAGAGCAAGGAGACGAAAATTGCTTCGTGTACTAGCACCCACACACCGCAGATCACACACAGGCCTAGCGCGCAAAAACAGAAAAGTTTCAATGACATCATCAATGGATAATTTGATTGGCCAGTTCTTACGTTTTTCGTCGTCAAAGTTGAACCCGCTTCAACTTCAACGATTGCTAACGATAACGATGTCTAGCGTCAATTTGCGATCGATTTTACCCCTTTTCCTGTAAATCGTTAAAGTTTACCGATATTCATAACATCGGCGTTGAAGTAGCAACAATCCCTTTTCCTGTAAATCGTTATTTTTATTTGAATAACGATTGAGATAACGTCGATTAACGTCGTTTAACGTCGACAGGAAAAGAGGCTTTACATGGGAATAGGATTTGTAGTGTATTAAAATACAAACATGCATATTTCTTTTGAAAAGATAATTTAACTATCTTATAATACCCCTTTTCCAAAACATTGATATCATATGTTCTGTTCCACAGA